AAAGTTATTATATATATATATATATATATATATATATATATATATATAACTTAAAATAATAATTTTTATTATTTGGAAAATGGTCAATATTATTAATTTTATTAATCTTATTTTTAAAAATTATAAACTAATAGGAGTGGCCATTGAAATTGCTCATATTGTGATATAATACCGTACCTACCAAAGATATCACAATTAAATTATAAAATTTATACAAAGAAAGAAATAAGGTAATATTTTAAAAGTAACAAATATTTTTTTTATGCAAGTCAATCAAATAAATTAATATATATTGTTTTTAATTAAATTTAAATTCAAGTTTAAATTTAAATTTAAAATGTCTTGAATAATACAAAAACTTTAAAAGTAAATTAATATTTACTTAAACAATAAGTAAATCAACCACAAGTATAATATTACATGTGTATATATTTTTTTCATAAATATAATTTATATAGTGTTCTAAAAATGATAAGTAAAGATTAATATATATATATATATATATATATATATATTAGAAAAGAAAATCAAGATGTGGTAATATATAGTTTTTCACTTAATACATATAAAATACTTCAAGTCAAACTTATTTGTGCTTAGAATTACGTTCAATATATCAAAGTTATATAAATAAAGTAATAAATAAATTGATCTGAATAAAATTATCTAATTTTTTACAAGTAATTATTATGTTAAATTAAATGTAAATCTATTATTGAGAATGATGTCATATTTTAATATAAAATTTGAAATTTTTATGTAAAATAGTATCTTGTTTTTTATTTAAATTTATCATTTTATAATAATTATTGTCGAGAGTACCAAATAATAAGAAATGACATTTTTTATCAATAAAAAAGATAGATAAGAAATGACATTCCTATTACTAAATAAAAAATCAATGACGAGATTTTAATGAAAAAATGAGAGAGAAAAATTTAAATCACATAATTATATGTGAATAGATGTCACATCATGTAGTTATTAAATTATTTATAATTTTAATTATATAATTACATTATCTAATTTTATATTGTTGAGTTCCACATTTTTTTTTAGTTCGTTCCCGTTGAGTTCCACATTTAAGATAATTAAGGGGGGTGTATTGGATTAGGATTTTAAAGGACTTTTTTAGTTAAAAAAAATCCTACGGATTTTAAAAGATTTTGCAGGATTTTTATGACTTTTAAGATTTTGCAGGATTCTACAAGACTTAAAATCAGGATTTTAATGGATTCTGCAAGACTTTTAAATCAGGATTTTAATAGATTCTGTGGGATTTTGTAGAATTTTCATGGATTTTTGACATTTGATAAGATTTCAAAAAAAAATTCATACATTCAAATTTAAAGAGTCAAAGGCAAAAATAATAATAAAAAATAATGTCTAGATAATTAATAATAATAATAATAATAATAATAATAATAATTCTCCATAATATCTTGTCCTCTTAAATAGCATTCACCCACATATCCATATCTATACTAGTCCTCCAAGCATTAGCGTATTTTCGCTCCTGGATTTGAATAATAGGTTCAAAAGTATGATCTTCATTAATTGGTAACGTTGAAGATGAAGGTTCATCCACCGCTTCAATTGGAAATTCATCAGAACGACATTTTTTACGTAGAAAATTATGTAGTGTTACACATACTAACACAAGTTCTACTCGTGTCTTAAATAAAAATGGAGATGCTGACTTAAAAATTGTGAACCTTGATTTAAAAATACCAAATATTTTCTCGATCACATTCCTTAAAGACGCATGACAAAGATTGAACAATTCTTTCTCATTTTCAGGGTGATTACCCTGACCTGCAAAATCTTGTAGATGATACCTTACACCTCGAAATGGAGCTAAAAATTGGCGTCGATTAGGAAATCCACAATCCACCAAAAAAATAGTTACCTAATTACATATGCAATATATATAATATTAGTATAATAATAATAATAAT